TGTGTGTGTGTGTGTGTGTGTGTGTGTGTGTGTGTGTGTGTGTGTGTGTGAGAGCGGCTTAAAAACCAGAGGAGTGTGGGTAGGTGTGTGTGTGACATTCTAAAATTATATTTCTGAAGTGAAGTCATGAATCAAACGAAAAATGTTGACAGTTTTTGTCTTGATCGGATGCTGAAAAAAAGGCAGGTCCTCRTCAGKCACACTGGTCCTACAAACGCCAAATACCTGAATATGGGTGTGTATGTGTGCGTATGTGTGTGTATGTGTGTCCTTCATGGGGCAAGACACACTGAATCAAAACATCCCCTCTTCTGCAGGCCAGGTTAGAATAATAATATATTCAGAGCTGTAATGAAAAACACACCTTCTTCTGTTATATCCATGCTGGGTTGCTTCATAGCTGCACACATCCGTTTGACATTGACACATATTAGGCAATGTGGCTGCACAAGCCCCCCGATACAAGTCCTTGACTATAGCCCACCCTTCACACACACACAGACCCTGCTATTAGAAATAAAAATAAAAATAAACACATTCAGTTGTGTCAGCAGCAGTGCTGCAGCCCTGTGGGGTTACAGTTAAACACAAAGGAAAGCATGGATGCGCCTCTTGGCTGAAAGGCAATAAAGAAATGGAGGAAAGGATAGGTGGGGAGGGGGAGGGGAAGGGAGGAGGATGGGGTGGGGGGTGGGGGGGTCTATATGAGTCAAGTTGCACGAAAATGTCAATACTGGCCCATATTCTGCCAGTGGGCTGTCATGCTTTGGTCAGTTATTGCGGAGGGGGGTAGGGGGTGGGGGCAAAAACCCTGTGGTTGTGTCACATGTGCGCATCAATAACACACACACAAGCACGCACGCACGCACGCACGCACACACAAGCTTTCGCATTGATTAAAAACAGCAGCAAAGATGTATTTTACAGGTAAATATTCTAATATCCAACGTGTTATTAATTAACTGAGCATTTCTTTTCTATCGCATGTTTCACATCAAACTACAAAGGAATAGGTTTTATAAAAACCACCTTATAATATCTATTTGTTGTTTTTATTTAAGATTGAATATTAAATAAAAATGTCCAACTCAGGCTGTAAACACAGAGGGAACTCACCTTTTCACTGTGCAGATTTGCCCAAAGATTAAAAAAAAGAAAAGACAACACTAAGAAGTCAAGTCTGGTTCCTCTGGTTCCAGCCTGAGCCCTCCAGTCTTCCTGCTGATCCGTTTTCTCCTCTTGTTTTGTTTTATTTGTGTTGTTTTCCTCCCTCTTGCTCTCTCGCAGCGTGTTGCTTTTCCTCTCCAGCAGCAGGAAAATTCAACAGCACTCTGAAAAAAACATGTAGCGGTCAATCAAACAGAAGAGGAAGGAAAAAAAGATGGAGCAGCGTAAAGTTGGAGGGGTGACGCGGAACTTTACACACCGACAAGAGAGCGACGAAACGCGGTCAGAGAGGGATATCTGGGTCGGTACGAGGTTTAAATAAAAGCTGGGAGCTATAGTTTGGGAGCAGACTAATTCCTGACGTGGCTTCTGGTGAAAGTAGCTCGCCGTGTTTACTGAATCCCCCCCTCCTCCCTGAGCCTGGTTGGTACAGTCCGCCCTTGTGGGGCTCATGGAGTAGCAGAGCCCAAGCGGCGCGAGCCTGCCTTCTTGGGACCGGGCAGACAGGTAAACAAACACCTGCAGTTAAAAGTCGGTCAAACAAGAAGACAAACC